CACATTTTGTATTACAATCCGTGCATTATTTAATACATATTTGTATATAATCCCTTATCAATCTCTGGAGTGTGTTTACAAAAATGTCGGTTTCCTGTGAAGGTGATATGGTACATAAAAGTGGCTGCAGCCAGGTGGTAGCTAGATAATTTTGAAATAAGAAGAGCGCTTACGCCGTGCAGATAAAGGTTTCCCAAAGTGGTTTGTGGTATTTGCTGTTTAGTGGGACATAAACTGTGGTATCAGCGCGCCTATAGCAACATACTGATAGTAGAAATGATGGTGAAGATTTTATATATATATATATATATATATATATATATATATATATATATATATATATATATATATATATATATATATATATATATATATAAACCCTTATAATCTCTTGAGTGTGTTTACAAAAATGTCGGTTTCCTGAGAAGGTGATATGGTACAGATAACAGCAGCCAGGTGGTAGCTCGTTAATTTTTAAATATGAAGACTGCTTACACCGTGTAGAATTCAAGGTTCTCCAAGAGGTCCATGGAGCTATCGAAGTGGTCGATAAATGGCTGGGTGTCAATAGGGGGTCAGTATATGGTTGGAGCTAGTTTTAGCCACGCAAATGCAATTTTAACTAATCAGAGTAACAGACTGAACTTGGAATAGCGTGGTGAGTAAAAACTAAAACTGAACAGTGTCCAACCAGATGTCAGTGACCTTGTTGACGCTATCATGTGGATCCTGTCAACAGTTTCAGTAAAAAAAAAGATATTTTAAATCTTATGCTTTTCATAATTTAAATATTAGTTATTTTTTATGAAATTATTTTTTATTATAATCTATTATTATTATCCGTTGTACTATTAAATTATTTCCATATTACAAATGTTTGGGGGTTGATGAACAACCTGAAACTTGTTAGGTAAAAGGGCACAAGTGTAACTAATGTGAAATTTTATTGTGGCAACGTTTCGCTCTCCAGGAGCTTTGTCAAGCCGTTACAAACAATACCATATTGTATTACTACTACTACTACTACTACTACTACTGCAACTAATATTACTACTACTACTACTACTACTACCACTAGCATTACACCTCACTCTAAGCCTATATATACCGTCTGTGTCCTTGTATTGTTTGTAACAGCTTGATACAGCTCCTGGAGACCGAAACGTTGCCACAATAAAATGCCACATTAGTTACATTTATGCCCTTTTACTTAACATAATGTCGGTAATTCTACCAACATTAATACAATCTGAAACTTCATAAAGGGGTCGAAGACTTTCGGGAGCCCTGGAGTACATCATTTAACACTCTTGACAGTAAAAGAATATCGTATAACACAATACAAACGAAGACGAGATTAGGAAACAATAAAAAAACTGCTAGTATGACTAAAACAAGTGGGCAGGTGCAGTTTGATGAGGACAAATGTAAGTTTTTAAATCTGGTAAAAGAAAAACCGTGATGCTTAATAAAACATTAATTAATACAGATTTGTGAAGACATTGAAGACATAGACAAGGATGTCAGCCCCAGCATCGTGTCTTCCTTTGCAGATGACACCCGAATTTGCATGACAGTGTCTTCCATAGTAGACACTGCAAGGCTCCAGGCGGACATCAACCATATCTTTCAGTGGGCTGCAGAAAACAATATGAAGTTCAACGATGAGAAATTTCAATTACTCCGATATGGTAAACGTGAGGAAATTAAAACTTCATCAGAGTATAAAACAAATTCCAGCCACAAAATAGAGCGAAAAACTAACGTCAAAGACTTGGGAGTGATCATGTCGGAGGATCTCACCTTCAAGGACCATAACATTGTATTAATCGCATCTGCTATAAAAATGACAGGATGGATAATGAGAACCTTCAAAACTAGGGAGGCCAAGCCCATGATGACACTCTTCATGTCGCTTGTTCTATCTAGGCTGGAATATTGCTGCACACTAACAGCACCTTTCAAGGCAGGTGAAATTGCTGACCTAGAAAATGTAGAAAGAACCTTCACGGCGCGCATAACTGAGATAAAACACCTCAATTACTGGGAGCACTTGAAGTTCTTGAACCTGTACTCCCTTGAACGTAGTTAGTTAGTTTAATATCTTTATTATGCATCCCATACCCATCCTGTGGGCGGTTGTCAAAAGATTACAAAGGTACATAATGGGTCCAGTGACTGGACCCCAAAGTTATGATAGCTGAACTAGTTACAAAGGTAATGAACTCCAGGTAGATCTGGTCACAATCATGGCAAGTTACAGAGGTGATGAATCAGCCTCACTCCTATACATGGTTACAGTCATGAACAAATTACAAAGTAATGAACCACTGATACGTCCACACCTGGTCACAATTGTAATGAGTTATAAATACAAATATTAAGTGGATCATACACCCACACTAGCGCGCACGCACACACATACACACACGAGGGCGCACGCACGGACATATGCACACGAGCGTACAAATATATGCATACACACAAGCACGAACATCCACACACACACGCACACACACACCCACACACACACCCACACCCCCACACCCACACACCCACACCCACACACACACCCACACACACCCACACACACACCCACCCACCCACACACACACACCCACACCCACCCACCCACCCACCCACACACACACACACACACACACACGACACCTTAGTAAGGAATCATTCAAGACACTGTACACCGTGTATGTCAGGCCCATACTGGAGTATGCAGCACCTGTTTGGAACCCGCACTTGATAAAGCACGTCAAGAAACTAGAGAAAGTACAAAGGTTTGCAACAAGGTTAGTTCCAGAGCTAAGGGGAATGTCCTATGAAGAAAGATTAAGGGAAATCGGCCTGACGACACTGGAGGACAGGAGGGTCAGGGGAGACATGATAACGACATATAAAATACTGCGTGGAATAGACAAGGTGGACAAGGACAGGATGTTCCAGGGAGGGGACACAGAAACAAGAGGCCACAATTGGAAGTTGAAGACACAAATGAGTCAGAGAGATAGTAGGAAGTATTTCTTCAGTCATAGAGTTGTAAGGCAGTGGAATAGCCTAGAAAATGACGTAGTGGAGGCAGGAACCATACACAGTTTTAAGACGAGGTTTGATAAAGCTCATGGAGCGGGGAGAGAGAGGGTCTAGTAGCAACCGGTGAAGAGGCGGGGCCAGGAGCTAGGACTCGACCCCTGCAACCACAAATAGGTGAGTACACACATGGTAATGCATTATTTACAGCAAGCAAAGTCAGGGTATTTCTCCAGAATGGTCTGTAATATACCACTGTGGATAAAGTAGGCGGGAGAGATACATGATTATATACACCTGGAAAATCGTAGAGGGACTAGTACCAAACTTGCACACGAAAATCACTCACAACGAAAGCAAAAGACTCGGCAGACGATGCAACATCCTCCCAATGAAAAGCAGGGGTGTCACTAGCACGTTAAGAGACAATACAATAAGCGTCAGGGGTCCGAGACTGTTCAACTGCCTCCCAGCATACATAAGGGGGATTACCAACAGACCCCTGGCAGTCTTCAAGCTGGCACTGGACAAGCACCTAAAGTCGGATTTGACCAGCCGGGCTGTGGCTCGTACGTTTGATTGCGTGCAGCCAGCAGTAACAGCCTGGTTGATCAGGCCCTGATCCACCATGAGGTCTGGTCACAGACCGGGCCGCGGGGGCGTTGACCCCCGGAACTCTCTCCAGGTAAACAGTATCACCAACTGAGCAGGAAGGGCAGGTCAAGTTTCATCCTCAGAGACAATACGAGTGTCAGGCAGGTGGAGGCTATATTCAAGATTTATCTGAACTTTTCTTGGAGAAAAATCGGAAACATCCCAAAATTTTGGGGCCACCATCAAATCAAATCAAGTTTATTCTCTATAAGGGTTACAATGTGGGGTTTACAGGATTTGGATATTGTGTGGTTTACATGTTATAAAATACTAATTACAGAGGGGGCCACTAGGACACCTAGCATGGCTGGGCATTTCTGACAGACTTAGATTAATTCTTAACATTAAATCCTTACAGATTATGGTACTAAGGCTAAGTGACCTCTACAATCCAGAGACTTCCTGCAGCTTCCTTCATTAAGATAGCAAGTTTATTCAGGTATACACAAATACAGTTACATAGATTATCATACATAGCAATATATGTGTATTATTATTATAATAAAAAAGAAGCGCTAAGCCACAAGGGCTATACAGCGATATATATGTAGAGAACCTAGGATAACCCAAAAATGCCAGAGTGACTTATTTTTAAATTGACTTTATTAAAACTACATGGAAATAAGTCACTTTGTCTGACTTTCTTGGGCTATCCTAGATTCTTTACACATATGCTGCTATGTATGATAATCTATGTAACTGTATTTGTGTATACCTGAATAAACTTACATTAGTTCCTTGACGCACTTGACCCAAGGAATTCATCCTGTTTCCCCTTCCTTGGATCGAACCTCATTGTCTCCCATTCCTCTAATAATTATTGTCATAATTGAGAGGCTGACACCATTGCGGTAAATAATCGGTAACTTTTATTGTCAATGTTTACATCCGGACACAAATGTTGACAGCTTATGTTTTTAAATGGTATTTTCCCCTCAAATTAATAACGTTTATTTGGGATAATAAATTACGTTTAAGTTGTAATATAGTTTTATTTAAAAAGTAAATTGTCTTGAGTATTAACATTGAATATATAACTGGAATGGAATAAGGCACATTGTTTGATTTTATTGGGTTAACCTAGGCTCAATACTATGTCATTTACTATAAAAACATTATAAAAGTTATAAAATTCTTAATGAAGCCTAAATAAACATTTGTACTTGTGCCGAAATATAAATTATTAAGCACAACAGACACTTCAAAATTACAATTCATTAAAAAAATTTCAACTTTAAAAAATCAATACTACAATTCATATTTTAAACATTCTATAAATTACTCTACTTTATCAAAATTAAACATAAAATTTGAGGTAACAGATTTTTTTGAGAAGCGGTGGGCATCGTTGATGGTGGAAGGCGGCGTGGACGACACTCAGTTTCCCAGGTCACTAAACACCATCTTTTCCACACACTATGTGGCCCGAGGTGAAGCAAGCCATGGAGGAGAAGCGCTACGAGCTGGTACTGAGTGGACAAGACGTGAACAACAAGATAAAGGAGCAGGAAGCACTAGACCCGGCGGTGTATAGCCTGACCCAACTTAATTTCCTGGAGGTGTCCAGGTCGCCCCTGACCTCCATCTCCCCTGACATTGGTCAACTCGTCAATCTTACCAATTTAATCTTCCAAGGCAACAAGCTACATTCTCTTCCAGAGACCATTGGTAACCTTGAGAAACTTAAAGTTTTGGACGTTTCTGGGAATTGTCTCCCGAGTTTGCCAGATGGAATTGGAAAATTGACAAATTTGACAACTCTCATTGCCAGTAGTAATGAATTATCTGCACTTCCAAACTTGGAAAACTGCATTAATCTTGCAGTTTTGGATGTAGGCAAAAATAAGTTAACAGACTTCCCAGATGTTTGTCACGAGAAGTTGACACTTGTAGCAGATCTCAAGTTTGCTGACAATCACATTAATGATATTCCTTCATCTGTAACTGTCTTATCATCACTGAAGATTCTTGATCTTGGGAATAATACAATCAAGACTGTCCCGGGAGAACTTGCCGACTGTCTCAAACTTAAAGGTAACGGTGGAAATAAGTCACTGACTTTTTTGTTTTGAGGGGGAGGGGGTTATCCTAGGTAATTTACACTGATATAATTATTCTTATGTATACCTGTGCTTAAATAAACTTAACTTAAAATATTATCAGTGAATATATATCTAACCAACATCAAATTGCCTGACCAGTCAGGAGATCTTGCCGTTTGTTTTCTAGTTATGACAAGTTCTCTCATATATACCTTTATTAAACTATTGGCAAGTTCTTTTGCAAAATATTTTATTGTTTATGTAATTACTTCATAATGCATTTTATCATTGATATTCTTGTAATATTTATGGTAAATATGTTATCCATATAATTTGTTAGTTATCCAACAATATGTATAAACTTTATATTCATATGTAAGCATGTGCTTTTGTTAATACATCGCATAAATAAGTACATATTGATAAATTAGACACATGTGCAACTCTTGGGTATCTTTATTGAGGAAATGTTTCGCCACACAGTGGCTTCATCAGTCCATACGTAGGAGAAACTTGAAGAACAGGAGGAGAATGAGGTAATCAGTCCCTCAACCTTAGAGTCGATGTGTTCAGTCCATCAATCTTGAATAGAATACGGCATATGAGCAGAGAAGCAGCTTATAAACCGTATGGCAGGAGAGGTGCAGCAGTCATAGGTGGTGTCACATTTGTTCAATGTGGAAGTAGGTCGTGCCCAAGAATTAGGCAAGCGAATAATTCCTAAGTATTAAGATCCCCAAGAAGTTGCAGTGTCTGACAGGTTTGTAGATGAATGGTTCAGAGAACCGACATGTTGATAAATTAGACACATGTGCAACTCTTGGGTATCTTTATTGAGGAAACGTTTCGCCACACAGTGGCTTCATCAGCCCATACGTAGGAGAAACTTGAAGAACAGGAGGAGAATGCGGTAATCAGTCCCCAAACCTGTCAGACACTGCAACTTCTTGGATCTTAATACTTAGGAATTATTCGCTTGCCTAATTCTTGGGCACGACCTACTTCCACATTGAACAAATGTGACACCACCTATGACTGCTGCACCTCTCCTGCCATACGGTTTATAAGCTGCTTCTCTGCTCATATGCCGTATTCTATTCAAAATTGATGGACACATCGACTCAAGGTTGAGGGACTGATTACCTCGTTCTCCTCCTGTTCTTCAAGTTTCTCCTACGTATGGACTGATGAAGCCACTGTGTGGCGAAACGTTTCCTCAATAAAGATACCCAAGAGTTGCACATGTGTCTAATTTATCAACATGTCGGTTCTCTGAACCATTCATCTACAAATAAGTACATACGCATGTTACTATGTAAGACAATTGTAATCACTTAAAACTTATGTAATTGTACCTAAAGCCCAAATACATACACTCATACATATATACATACATATAGCTGTAAATGTATACATATTGTTTTCCTATTTTTTTTTTAATATTGTCAGATTTAAACTTGAAGGGAAATCCACTGGATGACCGACGCTTCCGTAAGCTAGTTGAATCTGATCGTTGCCTTCCACGTCAGGTGATAGACTACATCAGGCAGCATTGTCCAAGATCTCATGATGGAAAGAGTGGAACATCCAGCAAAGGCAAGAGAGGCAAGGGAAGCAGAGGAAAAAATGATGAGGTACTGCTGCTTTCCATTTTGTACCTTGTTTATGAATTAAAACTTCAGTTTAACAGATTTCATATATGATGGACAGATTCTGGATAATGGACCAGATCCATCAGTGAACAAAATTTGGTGTTTACTTAATTGGTTATTATTATTATGATCAACTGAATAAATTTACTTAAGAAATTTTTAAGTCTTTTTTTTTTTTTACAAAAGTGTCTGTTATAAATTATGGCAAGTCATTCTCATTACAGTGGACCCCCACATACCGCTGGCATCACATAACGTTAAGTCCGCATAGCGATACATTTTATCACTAAAATTTTGCCTCGCATAGCGCTAAAAAACTCGCTCAATGCTATTCGTCCGAGATGCGTCTATGTGAGGCCTGAGCCAGCCTCACATGTTCCGCCGGTGGCACTGTTTACAAGCCAGCCTCTGCGGTAACGTCCAAGCATACAATCGGAACATTTCATATTATTACAGCGTTTTTGGTGATTTTATCTGCAAAATAAGTGACCATGGGTCCCAAGAAAGCTTCTAGTGCCAACCCTGTGGTAAAAAGGGTGAGAAATATTATCGAAATACTGTGGTACCATGGTCAACTGCTGATGCTGCTGCTGCTGTAGCACTGTCAGCTGCTGCTGCTGCTGCTATAGCACCATCAGCTGCTGCTGCTGCTGTACCACCATCAGCTGCTGCTGCTGCTGCTGCTGCTGCTGTAGTACCGTCTGCTGCTGCTGTAGTACCATCTGCTGCTGCTGTAGCACCATCTGCTGCTGCTGTAGCACTGTCAGCTGCTGCTGTAGCACTGTCAGCTGCTGCTGCTGTACCACCGTCAGCTGCTGCTGCTGCTGTAGTACCGTCTGCTGCTGCTGTAGCACAGTCTGCTGCTGCTGTAGCACTGTCAGCTGCTGCTGTAGCACTGTCAGCTGCTGCTGTAGCACTGTCAGCTGCTGCTGTAGCACTGTCAGCTGCTGCTGTAGCACTGTCAGCTGCTGCTGTAGCACTGTCAGCTGCTGCTGCTGTAGCACCGTTGTTAGTGTGGCTTATTGAGAATACCAAGAAACAATTAACCCCAGAGGGTTAGCCACCCAGGATAATCCAAAAAAGTCAGTGTCATCGAAGACTGTAACTTATTTCCATTGGGGTCCTTAATCTTGTCTCCCAGGATGCAACCCACACCAGTTGACTAACACCCAGGTGAACAGGGAAAAATGCCTGGAATTAGTGCTCATATTGGTGAATTTAAAGCCAGCAAAGGTTGGTTTGAGAGATTTAAGAATCGTAGTGGCATACACAGTGTGATAAGGCCTGTTCTGGAAGAAAATGCCAAACAGGACCTACAGTACTCAGGAGGAAAAGGCACTCCCAGGACACAGTGGCTCATCAGTCATTGCAGCATCTTCAATAAAGGTAAGTGTTATTTATTCTTCATTTAGTAGAGTAGTACATGCACAATATATATTGTGCATGTACTACTCTACTATTGTGCATGTATCCTTTTCTTTGTGTGTAGGAAAATGTATATTTCATGTGGTAAAAATTTTTTTTTCATACCTTTGGGTGTCTTGCACAGATTAATTTGATTTCCATTATTTCTTATGGGGAAAATTCATTCGCATAACGATAATTTCGCATAACAATGAGCTCTCAGGAATGGATTAATATCGTTATGCGGGGGTCCACTGTATTCAGATTTAACTGTTAGTCCATTAAATCAAGGTGTTGCATGCATGCATACATACATACAAATACACATTTGTCTCAAGCTGGAGAAGACTTGAACATACAAGTTTTGGGACAAAGTACATAGGCTCAAGTCTCCTCCAGCCTGAGATAAATGTTTGTAAATATTTTGCTTGTTCTGCAAAGTCTAAACATATACATTGTATTTGAACAGGACACACCGCCAATCCCTGGGTATTTTTTATGAAGAGCTTTTGCCAGCCGGTGGCTTTTTTTAATTCAATACAGAGCTTATAAATTGGAGACAGTAGAAGATAAGGTAATGAGTCCCTCAGTCTTAATTGTGTGTGTTCAATTTGTGAGCTTTCATCAGTCTTGTGGACCGAACACCTTTCAAGGCTGAGGGGCTGATTACCTCAAACTCTACTGTCTCCATTTTATGAGCTCTTAACTTAATTAAAAAAACAATTGGTCAGTGAAACATCTTAATAAAGATACCCATGCATTGCACATCTCTTGGTCATGTACTCATGATTATTATATGCTGTTATTAAAATTTTCCTTTCAACGCACTGGCCGTATCACACCAGGGCAGGGTGGCCCAAAAAGAAAAACTAAAAGTTATCTTTATAAATTTAGTATTGTATACAGGAGGAGTTACTAGCCCCTTGCTCCTGACATTTTAGTTGCCTCTTATGACACGCATGGCTTATGGAGGAAGAATTCTGTTCTGCTTTCCCATGGAGATGAGAGGAAATAAACAAGAACTAGTAAGATGAGATAAGAAAACCCAGAGGGGTGTATGTATATATATATGCTTGTACATGCATGTGTAGTGTGACCTAAGTGTAAGTAGAAGTAGCAAGACATACCTGAAATCTTGCATGTTTGAGACAGAAAAACAACACCAGCAATCCTACCATCATGTCAAGCAATTATAGGCTTCTGTTTTACATTCACTTGGCAGGACAGTAGTACCTCCCTGGGCAGTTGCTGTCTACCAACCTTTACTTGTTGGAAAAAAAACATATGTAAACACACACAAATATGCATACACTGTGTGTGTCTCCTTGTCTGTGTCTCTGTTAAAAATTTAACGTCTTTCCTGTTGCTCAGTGGCATGGCATGAAAACGTTGGGGTAAGCAAATGATAATGTTAAGATTTCTGAAAAAGCTGTAGGATGAATATTAATAAATTTTTGTTTTTATTGATTTATTTAACAAATGAGAATCAGTAATGCAGAATATTATATTACCTGCTGTTATCAACATACTGTATTTCAACAGAATTCTTTATGAATTTTAACAAAAAGTATAAGTCACCTGTGCTGTAAACTTGTAATTTCCTTAGATGATTTTGCGTAATTCCTTTTTTCTGTTGATAGAAAAGCAAAACTTTGCTATATTTTCCTGGACAGAGTAAATCTGGAAATTAAGTGTTAATCTTTTTTGGAAGCAGTTAAGCTGTTCTTGACATATGTAGTTGTTGCCAGAACTATTAATTAATTGTGAAAGACAGTATTCACTAGTCTTTTCCAAGTCATTCAGTTCAGCATCATAAAAACTATTTCTGTTTTAGTTTCAGCTTGGAATTCTGACATGTACAGTAAGCTACTCGTTATTTTATCTTTTCTTTTTTTCTTTCTTTTCTTTTTGCAGAAATCATAACTTGGAGTTGTTACGTTATGTCAGAAGATTCAAGACTAAAACCATAAAGAAGAGTTTTAGCTGAATGACTTTGAAAAGTTACAGTGATATTCACTAGTCTTTATGAATTAATTTTAGTGGTTTTTTAGTAATGGCTGCTTCTATAGGCAGTTTCATGTTTTTGAAACAATTAAAAAATTACTTCCAGATGTTCTTGAGACAGAATTAGAAGCCTTGACAATTCTTTTCTAGATCCTTAGAATGATGTAGATGTAAAAGCTCTTAAGAATCTTAATGTATGCCAATTTTGTAAATCTGATATTAACCTAGTTAAGTACATTGGTCCTTGAGTTTACACATATTCATTTATTCCAGAAGACATATACTAAAAAACTATCATGGTTTTATGGTGTAGAGTGGGACTCAGTTATCAGCCATAATCCGTTCCAGAAGTTTGCCCTCAATTCCGAAAAGGCTGAAAACCAGATACTGTACAGTGGTCTTCATTTTTGTCGTTAATCCAGTCCGGAGTGCGACGATTATCGAAAAAAGCGATTTTTTGAATAATTTTTCCCCATAAGAAATAATGTAAAATACGAGTAATCCGTTCCTGACACCCAGAAGTATTACCCGTAAGATGGTCCAGGCAGATCTAGTTTACATGTGTAGTGTAACAAGGGATCCTAAGTTTTTTTTACATATTTTCAATTATAAAAAAAAAAAGTAGATCAAAGTTTTTTTACACATTTTTAAATGTAGAAACCCCCCCCCCCCCCCCCCCCCAAAAAGAATCTACTTTTGTTACATTACTATTCAAATGTTGGAAAAACGGTATATATACGTTTGGACGGTTTACGGGTTAAAACTAAAAAAATTTTTTATTTGAATATAGATGTAGTACATAAACAGTACAATGGGACATGATGAATGAAAACATTAACAGCATAAATATTACCTTATTGGCGATTCTTCTAGTGTATGAAGACTGGAGGTGGAGACCGATTGGATTAGTTACTGTTTGAGGAAATCCCCTTCATCAAACACCTGGGTACCAAGTGCCTTTTCAGGGGTTAACATTCTTCTTTCTCTGTTTCTTAATTGCACTAGGACCAGTCGAGAGTCACTGGAGTCCTGTCTCAAAAAAGAGTGGGCCAGAGAGCTCTGTTTCTGGCATCTCTAAAAACTTCCTAAAATGGGACAAGACTGTCACTGTACAAGTTGCCGATATGGCTTGCAAACATCCTTCTCAGGGTGATGGTTTCTCATACATCTTTCCATCCTACCCCACATTTCAAAATCTTAATTTCTGAAGAAGGCACCACGTTTCCATCATCTCTTCTCTCCTCCTCTGCAAGCAAAGAGTCTGAGCGGCCGATCTGTTGCTGTTTCCTGCTGAAGCTCTTGCAGTCTCAATGGTTAGCTTCTTCCTTTTGGTCCTCCACCCAAACTTTCCACCATCCTCCAAACACATCCCAACCTTGGATATCTCCCCAATCACAAAGGGTTCACAACTGACATAGGCTCATCAGGGTCAGGCCACAAACTCTTCAATTCCCTCTTGGGACACAATTGGCCACAATTTTCTACAAGCAGAGTTCAAAGTCCTGGTTGTCACTCTCCAAGCCTTACCTATATGGCCTTATGTTAATGGAGGAGAGTGTGTGAGGTCACATTAA